GATGACACCTGAAGCGCGACGTGTCTCATTGAGTAATGATGCTCGAAATTTATTAGTACACTGAGGGAAAAATTACCTTAAAATCAACAAATATTTCTTTGATGGATGCTATTAACATATTTATTTAAATCTAAATTCTCTTTATTTAAACTAAATATTGTTTACTTAAATCAGGTAAACAATATTTGATTTAAATATGTTAATGGCACCCATCAAAGAAATATTTGTCGATTTTAATGTAATTTTTTCCTCAGTGTAGTACATTGAGAAAAAATATCTAAAAATTAACAACAATTTATTCGTCACTGTAATGATGTATTTACTTTTACATCTAAATTATTTTGTTAAAATAGAATAAAAAGTTGCTTTCATGAGAAGTTAAGATTTAAGAAAACTTATATTTTCTTACTTAAAAAATATTTTATATTAGTATGAATAAAATTATTAGTGTCCACCGAATAAATATTTCTTATTTCTTAGATATTTTTTTTCTAAATGTGACGTTGGTCTCACAATGCAGCGCAATCGTTGAAAAATGAAATTAAAATTATTGCTGTACATTGAAAGTGTTGAGATCACAGTTTGACCATTTCCAATTAACTTAATCGGCCGATTAAGTTCCGATCTTCCGATTCCATTGGAATTGATCAATCACGATTGAGACTTAATCGATCAACTAAATTGATTTAGGATAGCGAAATTGGACCAAAGTCTTTCTTAACTTAACCCCATTGAAAACTTTGTATTAAAAAAGTACACATCAATCAATCACATTTGATTAATTGACGTGTTTCCTTGAGGAAGATCGATGTGACTTACATAGAGCCGGTTTATTATAACTCCTCCTTCGCACCGAATCTCACTGCTTACGCTTATTCACGGGAAGAGGCGGCGACGTGAAAACCGGCGATCTTGAGAAGCTGGTCGTTGAGAAGTCTCACGACATTCAACGCGAAAAGAATCTCTCACTCGCGGAGTGATTCGCAATTAAGGTCTTTCGTTGCCAAGTTTAAATGGAACAAAATAGAGGCACACGTTCTCGAGTTGCACGCGAGACAGCAAAAACAAACGGTAATAGATCCTGGGGCGAACATTTCGCAAATGTCGTGACGCGACGTATCGCACTATGCACGCGCCGGCATTTGCATTCCGATAAGACACGGGCGATCCGATAAGAATGATAGCAGGCGCGGACGAGCGACGAGAAGAAGACCATTGCCAAATTTTCGGCGTAGAAATAGATTAGCGCGCCAGTAGCCGTGTGTATACGCGCGCACGCGATTTTGAGATTTGGATTACGTGAATTATGCGCATCGGATTTGGACTGCTTTGTGTTTGTGCATAACTGTATTTATTTATAGTCGATACGCGCCGCGAGCGAATAATACGGTCCTAACGGGCTCGCGCTAGAAACTACAAAAGGTTCACGTGATTACGAAACACGTGCTTTTCTTTTTTCTCTTTGACGTGGTAAGGTAAAAATGCCCGGACATGTATCTAAACATTCTGATTGTGTTGGTCTTTAAATAGAAATGTTTAAATTTTCAACATAAAATATACATGCAAATATTGAGTATATACATATGTTCCATGCTAAAAGTTTAAATCCGTATTTAAAGACCAAAACAATAAGAAAATTCAGGATTAGCGATCTCTTGAAAGATATTATGTACATATAGTCGTAATTATGCAAGATTCAATCTACATGAAGTACATGAAGTACGTGTTTTCGAGAAGAATAGAAATAAAAATTTAATACGTGATTTAAAAAGGTATAAATAGGACTGAGCTCCTTCGTAATCATTCAAGCATGATCAATTTTTTTCTCTTCAAGACTGTTTATTGACAGGTTTAACTTTTAAAAATGTGTCCGCGAATTGATACTTTTACGGTATGCGGAATATATCAATAAAAGTTACGGATACATGCAATATTAGTTCAAAAGTTTGAGATCACTGATAAGAAACGTTTATCAAGGATAATTATCTGGATTGTTATTCAGACAATAATTCTTGACAAACATTTTTATCAGCCATCCCAAACTTTTAACGTCCCTCTCGCTGTTTGTCAATTAGACATCCACACACATAGTAGTTGAGTGTATTTGTCATATATCAAAATTTCCCGCAGGCGATGACGACGACGATCCTTGAATATCACGCGCCGAAATAGCGCGGTATGCAACGGAAATAACAATATCACTTATGCTGTCTTCGATGTACCGACATATGTCACGTTAGTTTATAAAGAGATCACGATGACTCACGGAGATAAAAAAAGTTTGTAACGGTGTCATCCGTCTATCTATAAAGCCTTATTTTGTCATTACATCTACGTACGTATATAATGTGATCATAGTTATGCAAGAATGATCCCACAAAATTATAATTTTTGAATTTTGGTTTTTTTCACCAATTGATGCATCTTTCTAATAAAACAAAAAAGATCCAAGATTTATGGGTGCCTAAGATTAATTAAAAACAGTTTTCATTTTTTTACTGATCGCCACCATTTTAGTCCTATCTTTTTTCCCTATTTTTTAAGTTAAGCTTGTCAATGAACAGCCTTGAAGAGAAGATACGTATATAATGCGGTCATAGTTATGCAAGAATAATCCCACAAAATTATAATTTTTGAATTTTGGTTTTTTTCACCAATTGGCGCGTCTTTCTACATAAAACAAAAAAGATCCAAGATTTATGGGTGCCTAAGATTAATTAAAAACAGTTTTCATTTTTTTACTGGTCGCGCCATTTTAGTCCTATCCTTTTTCTCCATTTTTAAACTTGTCCATGAACAGCCTTGAAGAGAAGAAAATTGATCATGCTTGATTTCTTGAACGATCACGAAAGAGTTCAGTGCTATCTGTACTTTTTTAAATCGCGTATCAAATTTTTATTTTCATGTTTCTCGAAGACACGTACTTTATGTACTTCATGTAGGTTGAATCACTCTTGCATAATTATGACTATATGCACATAATATCTTTCAAGAAATCGCTTTATGTAGCCGTATGTTTGACGTATTATGAACGGGAGTTATCGTAGGAGATAATGCCGTCTTTATCGTTAAAATTAAGTAGTCTGCGGAATCGAATAGTTCACGAGGAAAATGCGTATGACGATTTCCTAAGAATAGCACTGGCTATTTGCGGGCAACTTTTTCTCTTTGCCGCGCGATACGCGGCCGATCGGCCGTGGAAATCGTTTGCTCGAAATCCGTATGTGCGTGAGTTAGGCGCGCGGTGTAAATTGGGAGATGTTATTTATCGCTCGTTGTAAATCGCCTTCGGGAAACGACCGAACGTGCGTTCGTCGGCGTAGACGCATATAAAACATGGGAATGGTCGCACCCAGCGTGCATACACACACACACACACACACACACACACACA